CAGGGATTCTTAGTGGTTATATGATGCATTTGCATAATGCCTGCTGGGTTTTGTAGCAAAAAACACTAATGAGCGAAAATATAAATGTAAAAAATCCCTCTGTGGGGTCAAACTAAATTTTGAGGTGTACGGTGCCGCGCTACACTACAGAAAACATACTGAACTGTAGTTTTAGGCCAGAAAGCCCATTCATAATGACTTTAGATTGAATGAGTTCCGTTCCTATATTATATTTCATACAGCCAGCTGTTATAAAACCTTGGTCAAGAAAAGTTGCATGTTAATATCAGTTGTTTTGAAGTGCACTTAGCCTATCATGTTTATTTGACTCCCACATAATATCCATACCAGTCACTGCTGTCCATCCTGTAGTTTATTTAAAGCTAATTAAAAACACATAGACTTGTGTTTGGTTCGGGAAGCCCATTATCCTGTAAACTGACTTTATTTGACCATTTGTTGCTAACAAGCCCAAAGGGTCTCACAAAGAGAGCAAAACAGTGTAAAAGGCAGGGCGCAATTATTTAATTATTGTCGTCCCATTAAAGTGAGAGAGTGCTTTGGGAAACGCCCATCCACCCGCCACACACGGAGCTTTAAAGGGTCCGGAGAATAGGGGGAGGTAAAGTTAAACGGCCCCAGACAGAGGAAAAGGGGGTTGGGCCGATCGATCAAGCTGTGCGAGCCCAGCAGGGCCCTTTTTTATGCAGAAGAAGGGCTTAACACAGATACGCAGGCAGCTTTGGGTCTGTTCTGGGGTCAGTGTTTATCCTGGGGAGAATATAAATGGCACATAAGGGGTCGAAGCCTTTTCTTCACCTCCATATCTTTCGCCGCATGCTTTATGAAATGTTATGGCTTATTTAATTAACTTGGTAGACAGTCCATCACCGCTCTGGCCCCTCCGTGCGCTCAGGGGTATCTTTTGGTTATTTACAGTTCGACGTACATGGCCTTAATTAGAATGTGGGCTAGAGGAGCTGCCTCCAAAAGATGTGTTCCAGATGTGAGCTGGAATTCCAAGCGGCTTTGTGAAGAAAAGAAAAACGGTGCTCTGCAGGGGTTGACCGGAGAAACTGGAGTCAGTGAAAACTGTCGAAAAGCATGGGATTTGACAGAGCTGAATGGAGGGGGCCTCTCGCATGGTCCAGTGGGAGATGATCACACCCTGTCTTTCAGATGGAAACGTCATTTCAGGCTGTTTCCATCTGATAAAACACAGCACAGAACCTGCATCTAAAGAGCTTTAGCTTTCATAGTTTGTCTTAAATATGAAAACGTATGAAATGTATTTGGGGCTGTGTGAATAGGGTTAAGCATCATTTCAGAGAAGTAAAGAGTCGGAAAGTTTTACAAACTGGGACAAGAACTTTTAGCACTTACGGTTTGTAAAGAACCTTCCTGGAGGGTTCTTTAAAGAATCATTTTAGTAAAGTTGTGCGTCTGTGAATAATCTTTTTAAAGAACCTGCTTGTAACGTTGAAGTACTGTAGCATTTACAGGTTTTACCTAGAACCATATCTCCGAGACAAGATTTAAATACACGCTTAAAATAAGGATGGTAAAGACGTCTTTGGAGCCAAAGAAGAACCACTTTTGGTTCTCTAAGGAACCTTCCTGGAGGATTCTTTAAAGAATGATTTTAGCTGTGCTGCTGTGAAGAATCTTTTTAAAGTTTAAAGAACCTGTTTGTAACGTTGAAGTTCTGTAGCATTTACAGGTTTTACCTAGAACCATATATCCAAACTAAGAATCATATACAGGCTTAAAATAAGAATGCTGAAAAATTCTCTGGAGCCATAGAAGAACTCCTTTTGGTGCCCTAAAGAACCTTCCTGGAAGGTTCTTTGAAGCATCATTGTAGTTAATGAGCTGTGCAAATGTGGAGAACTATTTTAAAGTTTAGTTTTTTCTTAGAACCGTACATCCAAGCCAAGAACAGTAAAATAACAATGTCAAAAGTACTCTTTGGAGCAGTGCCATAGAGGAACCACTTTTGGTTCCCTTTAGACCCTGCCAATGGAAGGTTCTTTAAAGAACCATTTCAGTAAGTGAGCTGTGTGAATGTGAAGAACCTTTAAGAAAGGTTCTCTACACATGATGTAGGGTTTAGAAGCAATTTTCAGTTTTTCCTAGAACGATACACCCAAGAAATGAACCTTATACACTCCTAAAAATAAGGGTGCCATAAAGGGTTCCTCGAAGCGGTGCTGCTTTTGGTTCCTTAAAGAACCTTCCAATGCAAAGTTAAAGAACGTCCACGCAATATAAAGCTTTATGCACATATTACACGCAAATGCAATCTAATATAAATGTACAGTTTACAGGGTTTTCCTAGAACCATACATCCAAGCCAAGAATCATATACACTCTTAAAAATAAGAGTGCTTCTTGGTTCCCCAAAGAATTCCATTTGAGGGTTCTTTAAAGAACGATTTTTGTAAATGAGCTGTGTGAGTATGAAAAACATCTGTAAAGTTTAAAGAACCTCCACATGATGCAAAGTTTCAAATTAAGTTATTTATCACACGTGCAATCTAGAACCGTCTAGGAACCTTTATTTAGACTGCACATAAACGCCGTGACTGGGTCTTTAGTAGTCTGCTTGGCCAGTGTTTACGTTTCTTGGTTCCTCTACTAAAGAAACTTATATGAATCAGAGAGTTTATGTGTAACTGGGGGCCGAGTGAAAATGTTTCAGGAAATACCAGCCTTTTTTTTTTTCCAAAGGAAAAGCTGACATTCCACAGAATGTTCTTAAAAGAACGCTGGTAGGATATATAGTTAGCCTGCTTTGAAATTAAGGTACTCCATCCATGCCTGAGATTCTGCTGGCCAGATGTGTGAGGGAGGAAAGAAAGGAAAGGGGAAGTGTTAGCCGTCTCGGGTTGCTT